TGGAAACGGATCACAAATGTAATCAAATAGCAGGGATCGGTACCGGCTATACAACTGGCCCATAGCGGCCGTAAGGGTAGTACACCTGTCATATGGAAAGGGATTAGAGGGGAGACCTTACCCGAGGAGAAGGGCGGTTGGCGTGTCATAGCTCCCAGTGCTCTACCCTTTGATGGCACGTCTCAAGTGCCCAAAGAGGCCAATGAGATAGACATCGAAGTACTACAGCAAGCGTTCGTAGCGTCGGCTAAACGTGCGGTTAGGGCTGGCTTTGAGGTTCGGCTGGTTTTTTAAAATTTATTTTATATGTATTAGAAAATATGTATTTGATATTAGAAATTACTATAGATTTAAAAGTTAAGTTTTTTTATTAATCAATGAAATGTCTGAATTTAAAAGTGTTAGTAATCATGTTATTTAAGTTCTCTAAGCTGTAACATAAAATGTAGAGTAGCAAATTAGTAGAAAAATAATGTAACTTATTTATTTATGGTTAAGTTAACAAAGCCTCATAATTTTTTTAAATGTCATTTTGTGAATTAATAATAGTTATGTTTAATGATCAATTATATATAAATATTTATTTATTTGTTTGCATTTGCATTTGCAATAATATATTGATTAAAAAAAATATTAATTAGTATTAAAAAAAATAATATTTAACAATATTTAAAATTATTATTCACTTTATTAAAAATCTAATATGTAAATTAATTAGCGTATTTGTTTAATCTAACATTTATAAAAATTTCAAAAATAACAATATAACAATAATTTATTTTTGTTGTATATGTAATTTAATCTTGTAAACCTGTAACATAAAATTCAAATTTCTATATAAATTATGAATATGTTTAACATTAGTTTTTGCTGCTACTGCATAGATCCCATTATTTTGTATACTATTATATAATAGCTATATAGATGGTTATTATTATTAAGTTTTATGTTTGTAATATCATACACGTAGTTTATAAACAATCTTTTAATAATATTATAGGTAATAGAGCTGCACTACGCCCACGGCTACCTGGGCAGCACATGGCTGTCCCCACATTCAAACAAAAGGACCGACAGATATGGCGGTTCACTGGAAAATCGGATGCGCTTTGGGTTAGAGACGGCACACAGAGTGCGGAAAGTCATCCCTAAAGAGACCCCACTTTTTGTGCGCATTTCGGTCACGGATTACGCGGACGGG